AATCTTCTCAGATTTTGCAACATTTTGCTTGTAAACAGAAACTCTAAAACAAGCCTGATGTTTTAAAAAAAAATTCTATAAACAAATCATGAAACTGGAAAACTTTCATACTTAAAACTTCAGTAAAACTTTTACGTTTTGAGCTTTCTCTGCTTAGGTCCTACCTAGATTTTTGTCTTATCCTAGCATATGACATTCCACCCAGTTAGGAGGAGTAAAGATAAACATGCCTGTCAGTTCTTCTATGCTTCTTAGCTATTAGAACATGTGGATTAAAATTTTAATGATGAGTAAAATGTCAAAAGGTGAGAAATGCACAAATAGTCACTTTTGGGTAAGGTTGTTTAATTTTATGTTTTGGCATCATCATTAATTTAATAGATAGTGAAATTTTTCTAAGAAAAATTCTGTTTTCTACTCTGCCACCATTATATTTGATGTTTTACATTATAACTGTGTTTATAATTGGCTAACTTCTCTCCACCCCATTATGTTCTCAAACTGTGGTTTTTTTTTAATTTTATTTTTAGGCAAGTGTCCCTGAAGTTTCTTTACTAAAAATCATGAAATTAAGTAAGTCTGAATGGCCTTTTGTGGTTCTGGGGACATTGGCTTCTGTTCTAAATGGAACTGTTCATCCAGTATTTTCTATCATCTTTGCAAAAATTATAACTGTAAGTAAAACTAATTTGCTAACATTTCTAACAATTTTCAACAAAGTGTAGCCTGGGAGAACAGATTTGCTGCACTCTAACCCAACAAGAGGAAAATTGGGACTTTTAATGGGTCACCCCTAGCATGGGGTCCATGATGGGAAGGTTAACAAATGTTCTCAGGGGACAAGGCAGCGTCTATTGTGAAGTGTTTGACTGGCCCATGTTGACTGGGCAATCAGTAAAGAAGTTGCTTTGTTTTCTAATTTTGACTCAGTGCTGTATCAGCATTCCAAAGCACTGAAGCAATAAAATAGACAAATACGACTACTTTCTTTTCAGCTAGTCAGAACAATAGCAATTTTTTTATTACCATCCAGCTCAGGGAGAGGAAGTAACAAGAATTTGACATTGTGCTGAAGGATCCCGGAGAGTTGGTGGATTCAAGGATCTTATTCCATCCACGTTAAGTCTTCAGTCTTCCTGATTTGCGTAGCTGCACTTTGTCAATATGTGTGTAACTACTAATTTTAGGAACAATTTCTCTGCACATGTACGTAGGTTTCACATTGCAGGTACTACTCTAAATAGAGGAATATTAAGAAACTTTACGAGGTATTAGAAATGATAGCTAATTCAAACAAACTGAAGATTTCTTCAAAAATGTACCTTAATAATAATAGCAGATAGCAGGCTCGTTTGCCTGATCCCATATTTACATAGTAAATGAGAGAATTAAAGGCAAATTATATTTATCACATGTAATGGATGTAGACAATAGAAAAATAACACACG